TGTACAGAATTATTTAAAGGTTCACTTTTTTGTATTAAGAAAACATTTCTTTTATTGGTCGGATGAAATATGCTAATTTTATGAGGTAGGAATTTTGGATTTTCCTGAGCTGTCTGCCAAAATAATCCGTATTAAGACAATAAAAGTCCTGAAATATTGAAATATATTAATGTTTAAGTTTTATCACTACAATATTTAAAATAATGAACTTTATCACAATATGCTAATATTTTGGGAAGGACCTGTAAACCAGCTCTCTGGTTTTAATCACCTTCTGCTCTTCCATTAATCAAACAGCATCAGCAGGGACGGAAAAACTCTCCTAATTCCATCATTTTCCACCAATGTGTTCCTGTTTCTCCCAAACAGCTGAAGCTGAGTTCTCCACATCTCTGCCTTCATGGAGCCCATCAGCATTAAGATCCACTATTCTCAGATTAAAGTCAGAATTCTGACTTTTTTCTAATATTATACTGAAATAAAATTTTTAAATCTGTTAAGTTTTTAATATTTTTTCAGTGGTGGTAATCCTCTTCCGTATTTTGCAGAGCGTCTCCTGCAGATGGAAGTGAGGCTTACCTGTACGGCTGCCGTCACGCTGTTGGAGCGCTGCAGCCTCCGATATCTGACCGTCAGAGAGACCAAAACGCAAAATGTTAAAATGTTTCCGGGTCATTCTGGCCTCCATGCAGATCAATCATTCAAAGACGCTAAACGATTAATAATTATCTCCAGCTTTAATTAATCAAATCTTCAATCATTCTGATGATTTTCCTCACCCTCGGTCGTCCTCCACCTGCACCCCTACTGAGGTGAACTTGGATGGATCTTCTGGGTCTGGAGCCTCTTCAGGTCCGTCCACCTACAGGACATCAGGGATGTTTTTACCTGTGATTGATGCAGGTGAACGTGCTGCAGCTGAAGCTTTCCTTTCAGTACCTGGATGCCGATGGAGAGACACTTCCCCTTCCTGAGGGCTTCCTTCCTGCATTCGTCCCGATGTTCTTCGACAGCCGTTCCTCTACTCAGGTGGGAGGAGCTGGCAGTGCTGACCGTCATGGTGCTGTTGCTGACATGTTGACTGGCGGGTCCGTGGACCTAAGGAGACGTGGATCCAGGCAGAGCTTAGAGGAATGAAGGTGATGCTGCACACATGGACACCACCAATCTGCATAGTCTGGATGCTGGTCAGAACCAACTGTAAGGCATGGAGGAGGGAGGATGATGCTGAGGGGCTGCCTCTGGTACTGACAGTGGGATGACAGGTGAGATGGTGGACCATCTCTGAATGGCTGAGTTAGAGTCGCTGGTCTGAGTTTAGAACATTCGACCCGTCAGAGAAGCAAAGAGAACCTGACTGTAAAAAACCAAACTGATCGACTTCTTCAGTCTGAAGGAAAAATTAAACGAAAACTGAGAAAAAAGGAACAAAGTTCAGAAAAAAATAATTTTTCAATCAGACAGAAACAGATTAAACTCATTTCTTTCCGTCTGAGATTTTATGAAACAGGATTTCTATCCCTGGTCCTCAGGGCCCTCTGCTGGTCCTCAGGGCCCTCTGCTGGTCCTCAGGGCCCTCTGCTGGTCCTCAGGGCCCTCTGCTGGTCCTCAGGGCCCTCTGCTGGTCCTCGGGGCCCTGTGCTGGTTCTCGGGGCCCTGTGCTGGTCCTCAGGGCCCTCTGCTGGTCCTCAGGGCCCTCTATCCTCCATGTTTTGGGTGTTTCCCAGAGAACCAGCAGAGGGCCCCGAGGACCAGTCGAGGGCCCAGAACACCTGGACCAAAACTTCCCAGATTAAACCAAATAACCAGAATCCGTTCCTTGATCCTCGTCAGGTTTTCAGCTGCTGCAGGTAAAATCTCACCAACACCTGGAATCTCTGCTCTGCTTGTTTTTAAGGAGGAAACATTTTCCTTCCTTAAAGGAGGAAATAACAGTTTAATCAAACAGGAAGTAAGCGGAGAACCAACCTGAGCGTTGGCGGCTTCTATGGCAGCTGTTAAGGCCTTCATGCTGTCGATGCTCTCTGTTGAGTTGCTGAGGCCCGACTGGATCGTCATGTCACCTCTGGACCCTTCCTCCTCCATGTAGGCATCCTGTGGGTTAAAACAAGAAACCCGCTTTG